TCATAAGGGAGAACAAACAGCGTTTCTATGAAAGCAGTAATTAACCGGAAATTCTTTCACAAAAAGGTTCGCATGATATTGATGAAATGATTTATATTAAATCATAAAAAAAAATAGTAAGCATATCTACCCGAAAGATACAGGCGTCATTTACACTGACATTCAACCAACATTTCATTGTTTCATTCAATTATTTGAAGCCTTAAATTTAAGTGTTCAATATATCAGCTGTACAAATTTGAAGTGTGCATTTTTTCCCCGATTAAATTCAGAAGAATAATAAAAAGTTATTTATTCAGTGTAAGCTCCATCGTTAGCATTTTTCTTTAATGGCCAATCACACGCAGGGGATTTATCCCATTCGCATAACATGATGATGGTTAGAAAGAAGTGGGAAAAGAGAGATTGGAAATGGGCGCAGACTGAGTGATATCCTACACATTTATACATTTTACTTATGGTAGTCACCCTATGCAGAAATGTCCGTGTATAGGCAAGGAAGGGAATTAATAAAGATTTTTTGCTGAACTTCTTTCTCTCGCCTTACCTCTCTATTTCTCTCTCTCTCTCTCTCTGTCTGTAACTCGCTCTCACTCTCACTCTTGATCACTTTCTCTCTCTCCCTTTTTTTCTCTATCACTGTCACTCTCTCTCTCTCACTCAGTCACTCTCTCACTCTTCCTCAATCTCTCTCTCTCTCACTCACTCTCTCTCTCTCCCCCTCTCTCTCTCTCCCCCTCTCTCTCTCTCTACCTATTTATCTATCTATCTCTATACCTTCATCTCTATCTCTCTCTCACCGGATAAGGACATTCATCTAACATCTAATTAATACCAAAAGCGTAGCCATAGTAGGCCATGGAAAACTTTCCTTTTTATCTTATCCTCCACACTGAAATATTTCCCTTTAAATCGTAATAATTACTCGAGCCAAACGATTTTATTTATCATTTATACAAAAATAATTTATTGCAACGGGTTATATAACATTGGATCATAATATAATTTACGATGAGATTCAGACTCCACTTGGAAATACTCTTTATCAATGAAATGACATAATTGCACCAACAATTTAAATTGTCGAACAGTACTCTGTAAAGCTGTGTTCGGTAAATTTGAACGAAGCACTGAAAACAAATGACCAAAAACCATAGCATCTAACGCGCATGGTTCTTCACCGTAGAAATATATTCCGCTACTTTCTTCTAATTTTGACTGTAAAATTTCACAACATTTACGCACTTTCGCAGTCACTTCATTGATTTTCATATCCTTCCATTGATAGATTTTAAGCAATTCCTTTGCTCTACGAAGTTTGATGAAATTTTGAATTTTATTTAAAGGCCACGGATGCACACAACCATTCCGAGGTGCTGTAAACTTGTCGTAGACATCCTTCACCATAAAACTGATGTACAATTCGGCCAAAGTAAAAACATTTTCGGCCAAGCTAAGGTAACTGCGCATTTCTAGTTTTTCATCTTTTTTCATCCAATTTTCGAGCGCTTCACCTTTGCGCTTTATATAATTAACGATCGGTGCAAACTCTGCATATATGAATAGTCCAGATTGCAACACGGGCAACTTGGTCATACGGCCACCTGGGGACATAAATTCAGCATTCGCACATGAACGTATTTGGAAAGAGAGATTACACATTTTCATATAGGCTTTCACGGCTAGACAACTGGCACTCTCCGCTAATAAGATCTGCTCTTTTTCATAAGGTTGATAAAGTGTGACATCTTCTGGCCAGGGTTCGCTGAGGTTTTTCCATGCATTGTAATCCATTTCAAGCAAATTTTATGATTTTTTCAAAATAATTTCTCAAAGGGTTATTGTCATAAATAATCAAAAAAAAAAAAAATAATAATAATAATAATAATAATGATATCCATATCCATAAACTTTCGTGTTAATACGTTGTCGCCACTTGTAATACATTAACTCAGTGCGGGCGTACGTAACACGCAGTCTGTCCGTCTGTACGAATGATATTCTAACCATGTAAATTTGTTTTCAATCTAAAAAGTCGCAATTTTTTATATATTTTGATGAAATTTGGTTCAGTAGCTCATTTTGACCCAAGGACGAGCGCTATTGAAATTGCTTCAGATCGATCTACTTTTGCGGCCTCTCTCGCAATATTCAAAGTTTATCCAAAAGTGGTTAAGTACTAGCATTTCGTCATTTTAAATTGGTATGAAAACTTTGAACCGGCTGGGGCAATGTTGGAACCCCTCTCATATAACGAAAACTAAAGTTCTTACGACAAAAAAGGATAGTTTTCAATGCTTCATGATGAAAACTATATCATAACAGTGCTTAAACACAAAAAAAGCAGTAAAAAAATTATAGTCGGGCAAGGCCGACCATAAATACCCTACATCACATTATCTAACACAATTCTTATTCTTGTATGAAATTGCAATTATGGCCCAATTTTCATCACCACATATTAAAACTTAGACTTTTCTGCTCCACAAAAGAACAGTTTTCGTGAAAGTCATTATTAGGGTAGGATCGAAAAAATATGCATAGATGGTCCCACTTTGGTACAGTTTATTGTTTTATGTTAAATTACAATTATACATTTTGTCGTAGGATCTTCAGTTTTCGGTATATGAGGCGGTTCAAAAATGGCCACAGCCAGTCCAAAGTTTTCGTACGAATTTAGAATGCCCAGATACTACTGCTTAGACATTTTTGCTGACAAATTTTGAAAATTGCAAATTTTTTCCATATAATGAGTTTTCAGAAAAGGGCGTTACACTGAGACTGGTCGAAAAAGTGGCTTGATCCGAGCCATTTTCAACAGCGTTCGTCCTTGGGTCAAAACAAGTCATTCTACCAAATTTCATCAAAATATCTCAATAATTGCGACCTGTAGCTTGAAAACAAATTTGCATGGTCAGCCATCAGGCGGACGAACAGGCTTAGATCAAATCAGATTATGATTCTGAATCTATCGATAAAATAAAAGATCTAGCTTCTAGCTTACGCCCTTCACCGTTTTACATACGACCGCACTAACTTAACGTAGCCTATATCACACGTGGTGTAGGGTATAATAAAAATCGGGTTGGTTGTTTTAAAGAAAGTAAATGCTTCTATTCTCAAGCTGTCAACAATGACAAAATATACGTCGATTGAATAAATACGTCATGCTTATCCACTAAATTGCTTGATTGCTGTTATCAAATTCAGACAACATTCATTACCTGTGTTGTGCGCCCTACTAAATGGATAAGTACCATTGGAGTATGACGTTATGCCGACTGGACCAATTGTGATTGGAAAATCTTTCAACTATCTTATTGATTTTTTGCTTTACGTACGCATAATAGCTGCAAGATTCGTCCTGTCACATTAGTCATGTCACGAGAAAGTTAAATAACTCACATTTTACTTGTTTAGAGTTAGCAGTTTCAGAGTCGCGTTTACAACAAAAAATCAGCTGTAAATGGAAAACAAAATAAATTATTTACAAATAACTGAACTAAAACAAAAAATTCTGTACAATTTTGATTTTATTTACGTTTGCATAATTTTATTGTTGATTGTATCATGGTGTTTGTCTGCGAACAAGCAAATATCAAATTTTCCACCCATTTACACTTTGGTTTTTCAAAATAAACACCATACATAGTGCAAAACTGAACGTCTTTCAACTTACGTCGTCGAAATAAGAGTAATCACGTATGAAAAATCAAGTCCCGCTTTTGAATTCAATTATTTGGCATAAAAAGCTGAATACAAAAACGAAACCAGGCTTCAGCTATGTGATTAACCCCGAAAGCTAGTTAAGCAACATAATCTGTACCCACCCTGATTTATTCAGTTTCACATCTGTAACTATTTGCTAATTGGACAATTCCTTGCTATTTCGTAAGATATCCAAAACAGAAAGAACAAACTTTAGTTCAACAATCGAAATAGAGAAAAAGATGTCTTTCAGTTCTTAAATAGCCTTCTAATTAGCCCGGAAAAAATTGTATTAGATTTTGCGTGAATTTTAAACTACTATAAAACCATAGCAGAATGCTGCCATAAGTTCAAGCGTTTTAAGTAATCCAGATAAACCGCTTTACGTACACCTTTCGCGTTGATCTAGAAATTTTATACCAGCTCTCAATCTAATATTTCACACAGACTGACAGTTAAAGTGCCCCGCCTATCAGGTATATTCGTAAGTTTTAGCTCAATATTTGTAAAAAATTCTATGTTACACTTTTTTACTTATTATGGACGTCACTATCGTCTTCAAAGCTAAGCTATGCCCATCAGCTAAGAATTGCAGATCTCAATGTTTAGCAAGTATTATAAGAGGCAGACGGATTTGCAGTCATCTTCCTAGAACAAAGAATATATATACAAACATATATATTCTTTAATATATGCAAACATATATAGTCTTTAAGTTAGATGATAGAAAATCTTTGGTTAAACTTGTAAAAACCAGCGAATATTTATCGCATGATATGTATTTGTATTTGCTTTAAAATGCTTTACGCAGCTATACTAATTAACACAGGCAATTATACGACAAGATTGTTTTACGCCGTCTTAACTGAACAACCAAAAAAAAAAAAATTTATAAAGAAAAATCTGTCATTCGTAAGTGGGAATAGGACTTATACTTATTTAATATATTAAATATTATATATATTACACATTATAATTGATTTCAATAAAGCAGAAAACGAAGTTGATTTCGGACAATGGTTCAAATTCTCAAAAGAAGTTGCCTTACATTTGTTTCTTTCATTTTCCGATATTTGTCTTGTTTATTTTTTTGCTTTTAGATTGTTTGCTTATTTGGTTGCTTTTGAATAAATTTATATAAATAAAAAAAAAATCGAATAAATAAAAGAAAAATTGCTAGTTGGAATTTTACAAAATTTGCTAGGGTTAACGTAACCATTCTCTTTAAATTCTCAATAAATTGTTTGTTGGGTTGACAAACAGCTGTTATACATGCTATCTCGTTTTTTAATTTATCTGCAAACTGTTGTCATTAAAACAACCACCATTTACAAACAATTGTTTTGTTCAATAAAAAACTAAATTTTGTCAATTTAGAAGGAAATAAAGATTTTGTGAGATCTAAAAACAAGAATAATGCACGGGCGTCTTAAAGTTAGAACCACTGAAGAGGAGCGCGAACATAAAAAGAAAGAACAGGCCTTGAAAGTGAAAGCCTACAAAGCAGCCATGCAGCTAATAATGACGAAACGTCAGAAGCAAGAATACGATGATGAAATGCTAAGTGCCAGCACACCTATTTTACAAAGAAATCCTGACGTTACTACACTTTGGAATATACGCCGAGAATGCGTTTTGGAGAAAGTAAAAAATATTAAATCTTTAACAGACGAGCATTCCGATGGCAATGAAAATGAAAGTGAAGAAGAGTCTGTGGCCACGAAACAGCGAAAAATTCAACAAATATTTGAAGGAGAATTAAATTTCACTGAACATTGTTTGCCGGTTAATCCAAAAAGTTATAATATTTGGCATCATCGTATTTGGGTGCTGGAAAATTCTCCACAAGCCAATTGGCAAAATGAGCTGGCATTGTGTTCTTCGTATTTAAAAAAAGATGAGCGTAATTTTCATACTTGGGACTATCGACGCTATGTAGTAGAAAAAGCTAAAGTTCCCAAACAAAAGGAACTTGATTTTTGTACGGAAAAAATTAAAATTAACTTTTCAAATTATTCATCTTGGCATCAACGAAGCTTATTACTACCGATACTCTACCCTTATGAGGGTAAAGCCAAACCTAAAAAGCCAATGAACGAAGAAAAACTAAAAGAGGAATTGGAAATGGTTTTAACAGCGGCATTTACTGATCCAAACGATAGTTCAGCTTGGTTTTATCAAAGATGGCTATTGGGTTATTCTCGACCCGAAATGGCGGTATGCGCCTTTAGGGCTAATCAAGAAAAAGCTGTAATAGTTTTCACTAAACCACTTGCGAGTAAAGGTTTAAAAGTCACATTGAAGTCAAGCGATAAAGAACAAGAGTTAACAGAATGGCATACAGTTAATTTAGGGCCTTCGGACTGCATGCTTAAGACAACATTAAAAGCGGAGAGTAATTTAAAAATTTTCAATTATATCGAAGTTTGCACGCCTCTCTATACCAGTGAATTGCTGCCATTGAAGATCTTTCACGATGACATTTATTACTTTCAAGCTTTAGTAAGTTGCACTGCATATACCGACGATGTCTTAGATGAACTTAAAGCCCATTTGCAAATGTGTGAAAATCTCTTGGAATATGAACCAGATAGTAAATGGACTTTATTAACTTCGGCTTTATTAATGCGTGCTATTGACTCGCAAAAATATCATTTAAAGGCATTGAACTATTTGGAGAAATTGCAAACTGTTGATAATTTAAGAGAAAACTATTATAAAGATTTAGCTTCCAAATGGATTTTAGAAAACGCCTTAATGGATTGGTCTAAAACTGAAAATATACCGAAACAATTGAATCTAAATGATTTAAAGCAATTAACCACCTTAACCGATCCTCAGTATTTATGCATAGCCGATGAAATTTTACTATCGGATAATTTAAAAGAACGGTGCACGGCACTGAAAACTTTTCAAGAAATATGAAAATAGTTAAGTATAGAAATTTATATAAATGAAAATTCCTTATCACTTTTAGTTAAGAATATATACTTATAATATATATAAAGTCTATTAAACTTACCCTACTTATTTATAAAATAGAATCGGCCCAAAAATTTATATATAAATTCACTAGTGCTTTAAATATGTTGACGGTTTATCCAAATAAAATATATATAAAAAAGGATAAAAGTCAAGAAAGGCAAAAAATTGTATTCGTTGGAATCTGAATGCTGGAAGGCATTATTGCGTGTTCACAATTATGTTTGTGTTTTTGATTCGGAAAATATGTGCTGAGTTTTGACTATCAAAACTTTTTCGATCTTGCACGAGGGAAAAAGAGTTATGAAAACGGACCAACACGGCTTAATCGATTTCTACTCTTACATTGATTAAGTTACAAATATACTTTACGCCACCTTTGATACTCCCTTTTCTCCTATTGAATTTGTAAAAGGACGCGTAAATACATGGTCATAATTAATCTTTTCAAGGGTTTATGGCGGCAAGGAATGCCTTTTTTTTACTCATGTTTTGCTGGGCGAATACAAATGAGAGAAGCTCTCTTTAAACCGTTATGACTTCCAACTTTCATATAGATGACCCCTTCATAATTTTTTCAATTTTCATACTGTAATCCTAAATTCCATATCTCATTATATATATATGTGTATGTACATATATATATATGTGTAGTATCGTCGATCATTATATGGCTATATCTATATGCACATCTTCGTCCAAACGTTGCTATTAATGAAATATTTATGTATTTGTAAATGTATGCGTATATATGTTTACAGTCTCATCATAGATGTGTACATTAGATATAATTCATCGTTACATACGGATATATATACATACATACATCTTTTTTTTTTTTTGGTATAGCTATAAGTCTTATATATATTCATTTATATCTTATACATATACACGTATATAGATATGTTTTGATGTATATTTATATATATCGACCGAAAAGCTTAACTGCCAATATCTGTATATTTAAATATACAGAATCCAAATCTTATTATATATCAAATATATATGTTTATTTCTATGTTTATGAATACGCTATTATCATGTGTATTATATATAATTCATCGTTATATATATATATATAATTTTTTTTTTTTTTTTTTTTTGCTTGGTATACATATATATCTTACATAAATACATGTGTATGTGTAAGATATAAATTTAGGATACGTGTATTTATCGACCAAGAAGCCTAAGTACCGATCCTTTCTTCCCACAAAAGATTGTGATCAACTTATCCCGTATAGCTTCTCCTGAGTACCTTTCACGTAAGGTTGTCGCAGATAGGAAATTAATATATTTCCTGTTTCGGTAATTAATACAAAAAAGCATTGCTAAGCGTAACGAATATAAGGTCAGTGGTAATGCATTCCCTCAATTTTATAAATATTGTTAAAAAAAAATATTTAATGTTCGTAAGATGATGAAAATACTATTAACTGGTTTGTTCGGCTTACCGGCATCTAAGTAAGTAAAAGAAGTAACAGCAAACATTCAGGTAAACCATTTCTCTAAACAAACTTGCAATATTTTCGCAAAATAAAATCCACGCTACAAATGATAATGAATTTCTCTTCGAGGTAAGTTCTTCCTCTACGAGTTCTTCTTATTAGAATCTCATTCTTCATATTGATATTAAATCGGTTCAATTATTTTTATTTGTTGAGGTTTAATTTATATTCAAATTTTTCTTTTTAATTTTGTTAAAACTGTTTATAAAAAAATTTCACAATACGCACATACTACTAACATAAACACAATAGAAAAATGGAACACATATAGCGCTTGTTCAAACGTGTTCAATTTTGGCAAAAAAAAACAACGCTTTCTATTTTACGTACAGTGTATACTTCTTTAAGAAAACTTTAAACACTATTGTGCTCAGAGAATCTTCATCCTAACCATTGGAAGCATACATTCTTCGAAGATAATTCCAATTTGATTTAGTTATAATTTTCCGTTGCAAAAACGCACGACCGGTTAGATGATAGAGCGCTTTTAATTTTATCGAGATTTAACGAGAAACATTATTCTTTTATTATTTTATAATTTATATTTAATTTGTCCTTAATTTTGTTGTAACATTTGTCCGATTTATTTATTTATTACTTTTTACAATGCAGCACCAGGCAAAATTTTCGCGCGTACTACTAATTTATGTAAAGCCCATAGAATGTAAGACAGGGCTGTTTTAAAATTAATATCGTAAATGACGGTTACGGTCTTATATCTAAACTGTGCAATTTATAACTGTTTCCGGGCAAATAATTTCAAGTTTTGAAGAGACTAAAACGATTTTATTTATTTTTAAATAATTTCATCTAACATTTATAATAATATTTATATATATGTATATATATACATGTTAAAAATACGTACCTTCTGTAAAGGGTTTATAGTAAATATAGGAATTATATGTAATTTACAGAAAAGCCATACTAAATAATTGTTTATTTTTACGCTTAAATAATTTATTTCTTGGTGTTTTTTAAGATAATTAAAATAGGCGCATATGCGCACAAAAATTTTGTAATAAAATTAACAATTCCTTTTAAAATGTCATTGATTTGAAATCCTTTACTATAAGTTTTCTTCTTTTTTTTTCCTTGAAAGTTATTTGCTTTTGGTCCATTCGTGGCGTACAATTTTAGTTAACGTTTGTTTATTTATTTTCTTTTTTGTAAAGCTTCTTGTTTTTATTTTAATAACTTAAACTTAATTTTGATTTTATCTTCGTTTATTTATTTATTTTCTTTTTTTTCTATATCTCTACATGAAAGAGGGTAGTTTTTCTGGAATAAAAAATTAAAGCATTAAATATGATTTTTCTTTTTTGTTTTTGCTTTGACTTTATTTTTAACGACTAATTGTTAAGCATGCACTGAAGTAAAATATTTTTTTAATATATCCATATTTTAGAGACGGTAAAAAGTAGGCATGAATCAATCAAGTTCATTAAAGTTGTTAACCGGTAGTAAGTTTAGTGGTCTTTCCTTTTTGTTTTTTTTAACACAAAATACAAATTCTTTCTAAATTTTATTATAAAAAAGAAAAAAGAATAGTTTAAAAAAAAAATAAATAAAAAACGAAATTTTTTTTACTAAATAATTGGTTTTATTCGTCAAATAAAATATGTTTACATGAAAATATAATCAATATAGTTTATATATACTTTTACGGTATACTAAAATTAAAAAAAAAAAATTAAAATTCAATAGAAAAAAGAAAATTTTTACATCATAATGAAAAGGACAAAAAAAAAAAATAAGCCTTAAAAATAAATAAAAAAAATCAACGCACTCAATTTTTTTTCCTCTTCGAAATGTATGTAAAAAATCAAAAAAATTTCTTTTTCAAAAACTTAATGGAATGACAATAAAAAATATTCAATTAAACAAAAACTTCAATAAATTTTTATGAAACTTTTCAAAAAAAATTTAACAATGATTTTTTTTTTTTTAATTTCTTTACACATATTTATGATATATACTCTGTAGAGTTTTCATCTTGAGTGTTACGTTTTTCTCCCGATTGTTTTTTTAGGACATGTATATATATATATATATATACTTAAATAAATTAACAATACGCTTTAGGTCGTTTATTCTCTCGCATACATATACATATATAAGTAAAGATGGGTAAAAAGCTTCAAACGATAGTTATAAGTAAATCTAAATACTTTTTTTTGTTTCTTTTTTTTTCAATAATTATTTTGTTTTATAATATATATATATTTATACACTTTCTACAGAGCAAAAACAAGAAGAAAAAAGATAAAAGCAAAAAATGTTGTCCCATGAAATTATTTTGGTCATTATTTGTATGTATATGTGTGTAATATTATAATATTCAATGATTATTATTTGTGTATTGCCTTTATTTATTATTTAAATAAAGTAATCGATTATTGCCTCCATTCGCTCCACTATTGTACTGAATGGTGTGTATAGATTTAACCATTTTATCAATGCTTTTCTTTATGTGAATATATAGAGAAATCCGATTTAATGGACAGCATCTATGTCCCGCTGAGCTCTCGATATTTTCAATTTATCCTTTGGAGTGTGATCTTCACCGGAGTCTAAAGCGAACATTTTCATTTTTTCCTTAAATGATAACTTCTCTGGTACGGCTTCTGTGCTGCGTTGTTGTTGCTGTTGTTGCTTTTCCGCTAGCCGGCGCTGGCGTGGATCTCTATAATTAAAATAATATATATTAAGCCTAAGGTAGAATGGTTGCAAAGCCTTTAGAAGATAATTTCAAAAGCACATTAGTTTCCTTATTCCTAAACTCATCGGCATGAGTTAGCCGAGTAAGTGAGAATCACGATTACCAAGTCCCTGTTCGTGTGTTCAATTTGTCAATGCCAATATGGCAGAGTTTACTTTGATCGGAATTATAATGATTGCTCAGCCGGTAAAGGCACTAACACTTACCGTTTGTGGACAGTGATTTCAAGTGAAGTGATTTCTACGAAATTGCTGAAAATTTCTTACTTTTAAAGCCAGTAATAACCGCGGATGCGCACTAAGAGAGAAGACATGCTCACCTCAGGCCGAATTTTTCAATACTAACTTTCGCACGATTAAATCGCTAGACATTGATTTGAAGTTAGTAAAGTAAACATCAATGATTTCAAGTGAAGTGATTTGACGAAATTACTGAAATTTCTTTAGATTAGAAACACTCTACAATCTAAGAAAAACAAACAAGAAAAGAGTGATGTCCACTTTAGGAAATTTTGAGGTCTCTTCATTCATAAAAAAGGGAAATCAGTTTAATATCTGTCAAGGAAGTAGTTTAATAGATGGTAAAATGGTAAACTCAACTGTTACATGTCCCTGCCTATCATGCCTATCGTGGGCTGAAAACCATCGCCTTTTCGGTACAGTCATACTTTTTTTGTAAGGGGAATCCTATTAGTTTTGAACTTCGGGATCCTAGCTTTCTACTTTTCATGATCCTAACATTAAAGCGAAACACTGAGGAGCGAATAAGCAGAGTGACATAGCTAAGTTACTGTAACGGATCTCTGCAGTTTTTACAAATTAAAAGATAAATCTAACGTACTGTTGCATTATCGTTACTACTACATATTTAAAGGCAATTCAGACCATTTTATGCAATCACGTTCTCTATTTAATAAAGAAATTTTTATATCTATTACCGAAGGATGACGCCTGCAAGGAAGCTTTAGATTTTTGTACAAAGTCAGCATCAAATGCTGGATCGATGTTAATGTTAAGAATGTCCGTGTGTCCGCCTGTGTAATGTCTTTTGTAAATATTTTTTTACCCGTAAAAACGAAGTAAGTTCGGCCGACTTATTTGAAGTTCTTGCACAACGGTTCATATTCAAAATGGCCTAAATCGGTCAAAGGACACGCCTACAGTACCAAATAAACTGAGGACACCTCTCTTTTTCAAAAGGAATACAAACTTTGTTTTTTCTTGATTTCTCACAAACTGTAGCATACAAATCTATAAACACTTGAAAGTGCATACTATGGACGATGCCATAATACCTATCGAAAATGGAAAATATCGGTCGTGCCTATTCAATATTATAGCGTATCAAATTTTTATTCTTTTTATCGAAGGCAAGCTTCTGAAAGCCAACAAAGTGTATACAATCTTGACCCGTACCAAATTTCGAATGCATGTAACCACGTCTGTCCGTCTGTTTGTTTGTCTAAGTAGGTGGAACACGTGCAGTAAAAATTCTCCCGCTTGGAAAAATGAAGATATCGCTCACAGGATTGCACAAGAATTTGAAAATGCAATAATCCGAACACAGGACATTCCTACAACGCCCTTTCCCTTTTTTCTTTCTACTATTTCTTAGGATAACGGCAGTGGGTATGAAATTACTCTTTACGGTTCGTCGTTAATTGTAAGCAAATTCTATTAACTCGTATTCTCACTGAAGGTAGTCAGCCGTAATTTATACACTGACCTATACACTTCTTGAGCTCCTATAACGCCAGGAGTTGATTGTACAGTTGTATTCCAAGCAGCTGTATCCGGCGTAGCAGGCATTGATGGCAACATAGAAGCATCTAAGCTTTGTTGAAGAAACTGCAAAAAGGAATGAATCAATAATGAAAGCGATCGTTTTATTTACTTCCGTGGTAAACTTACACTGGTGTCTTCTCGTATCGTATTCAATTCGGTTGATGTCGATGTATTGGAATTTGTTGTCGACTGATGATGATGATGATGATGATGATGATGATTATGGTGTTGATGCTCTGATATTGAAGGCGATGTTATAGAATTATTGAATTGACTTTCATTAGTATATGTACTCAGCTGAGTACTGGGCAGGTAATTATTATCCTCGTCATGAAATGATACGCGTTTATTATCCCGTAATAACATACTCGTTGAATTCATACTGGAACCGCTGACATTAAATAGGTCCAATGATGGTGACAATTGCTGCTGAGCAGTCAATGTTGATGGACTATTATTGTTACTTACTCTGTTACTGATTAAATTGGTCGCCGTTTTCTTTTGTAAATCGGCTGAATTGCTTGTAGCAGTTTTCAAAAGTCCGATAGCTGAATTCGTGGAATTACGTAACTTTTGTTGAGACATAATTAAATATGAGCTATTCCTTTCAGGTGGTGGTGGTGGTGTTTGCGTATTATTATTGTCATTATTCAGATTATAATCAGAGTTATTACAAGTTGTTATAGGTGCCGTTGATATTGGACTGATAGTTGTTGTTACAACATTGCTATTGCTAGTAGTAGTGTTGTTAAGGTTTAACTGAGAAATATCTCGGGCTAAACTGGAAATAGAATGCTCTGTTTGTAAATGACGATCGTCAGCGAAGCTGGTGGATTTTTGCGATTTGGACGGCGAGGACGGTGCCAGGTTGGTGCCATCATAACGGTTATTTTTCAATATTGATTTAGGTTGCATGATACTGCTATTGATTGGCGCAGTGGAAGTTGTGACACCACCACTAATACTACTAGTTATACTACTATTGGCAGACGTTGCCGGAGTAGATGTATGCTGTGTAGTTTCAGAACCTGCCGAATTATGCGCTGACGATGGTGGCGAAATTTCGCCAGCATTTACACTTGGGCTGCTCGAATTCGTATTATTGACGGAGGCGACCTTAATTTCCGTTTGTCGGAAATTTGTTACTGGTGTTTGTATGGTGGTGTTTTGATTTTGCGTTAAACGGAATACTTCTTGTAACTGTTCTTTTTCGTAAGAGGGTTCACTTTCGTCTTCTTGCTCTTCGAGCTCTTGAGCACGCCTTTCGAAATCTCTTTCAAGAATTAATGTTTTCAACTGTTCCTCTTGTTGTGGACTACGCTGCGGTATAGCGGACAATTCGTTGATTTGTTGTTCACGCCATTGGCGTATATGTTCTCGACGCATTTCCACTTCTTTTTCCCTTTCTTCCCGTTCCCATGGATTGGTGCCAGTAATGTTTCTATGGCTTTGTAACGTGTTACCTGAGACAGGTACATAGCCGCCTTTAGGCGGATCCAAAGTACTGGCAACATAATTCATACCTGGCGTTATTTGCTGAACTGCTTTATATAGGGGATGTGTTGTGCTGGGTGGTAAAGGCGGCTTTTCGTCCACTGTTTGTTGTTGTTGTTGCTGCTGCTGTTGTTGATATAGATTTTGTTGCAAATACGTAGCTGGTGGACGCTGTTGCTGCTGTGGTTTAGGTGCCGTAGGCGGTAATTGCTGCTTGGATGCTATTGCTTGTTGTTGCGTGCCACCCGGTTTTGGAGGCAAGGTAATAAAATTGGACTGCTGCTGCTGTTGTAAGAATACCTGCTGCTGCGATGCGTTTATTTGATTAGGCGGTGAATGTTGGCTCGTATTTTCACCGCCAGCAGCATTAACGGCATTCGTTTGATGACTACTCGATAACACATCAGATCTCATATTACGACGCAAAGTTTGCAAACTAGCAGGTGAATGTTGCTGCATATACCCAGACGGTAGATTACCCTCTGCAAACGGACCATTTTGATACTGATCGCTGGTTACCGAATTCACGTTAACGTTTTGCATACTCTGACTGGCTGCCATCTGTTGCAGTTGATTGGTCGTTAAATTTGTTTGATGCATTGGATATTGCGTTGCCGATTGTTGTTGCTGGTACATATTGCTTATGTTTGGCATTGATGGTGCCATCATCGGTTGCATACGTAAACTTTGTTGCGTTTGCATTTCACGATTAAAATTCTGCGAACTTTTCGAACGATTATTTAATGTCAGACTGGAATGTGCTGACGTCATAGTTGGCTGATGCTGCTGAAGTTGCATATGTTGTTGATGTTGGAGCTGTTGTTGCTGTTGTTGTTGTTGGTGACTTAAGTTTGTGCTGCTAGCACTAACGCTGTGGGAGTGTTGTGTAAAACCATGATGCTGATGTGATAGATTATGTTGTTGTTGTTGTTGTTGTTGTTGTTGTTGCTGATGCTGCTGATGCTGCTGATGATGACCCGTAGCAGCACTAGCTGCAGTTGACATATTTGCTCCTCCGCTTTGATAGTAAGCGGACATTGGACGACTAGGTGGAGGCATGTTAGAGCCATTGATTGGATTTGCAATTGTTGCATGCTGTTGGGACGGTTGATGTTGATATTGTTGTGGTAGACTTGTTGCAACGGTGCCACTTATTGGCGATACAATAGGATTTTGTAAATTTTGTGGGGAATTTCCACTGTATGTGCTCATTGCGGAATGTGATGGCATGAGGGGTCTGAAAGAAGAATGCAATTTATATCAAAAAAATATATTTATTAATACATATATGATCTTATTAAATCTTAAAGATGAACAGTTTATTATTAAAGCCTACATTTAGAAATGAATTTTCTGCTTAAATAATGCATTTGTGAAGCCTCATAGTCACGAAAACGAGAAACTAAATTCAAGTATTTACTGTAAATGACGTCCAGTATTGTATTTTGCTTTTATTATTAAGAAAAAAAAAAAAAGTGAGAAAACTATATTCGACGGGGGCCGAATTTCGCATATCCACCACTATACGTTTCGCATTCCATTCTCCAAGTTCTTTTATTTGACACCCATATCGCTGGTATTATCAACAAAAAAGTAATCGCGGTAGACATGGTAGACATAATCTTTTTAGAATTAACCCATTTTAGGCAGATCTTCTGTTACGAAGTGTACAAGATAGTTTTAAACATTCTATCTTGTTTGCCTTATGATAAATAAGCATAAAACCTCAAAAAGGTGAAAAAAATAAAATTTTATTACTCGTAAGTGTGTCTGGCCATGGATGATTGTTTCCATTTTTGGAAGTAAAGAGTAGAGTGTTTCGTATAGTAAATTTGGAAAGTTTCAACCTTCTAACTTTAATAATTTCCAAGTGACGATTAAAAACCCCCCTAAATTTTTGTTAGGACAAACGGAATTGCGTTTAGTTCATTGTCCACGCCGGGCTTGTGCTCTAACCAATTTGGCCCATTTGCAACAGCAACCTGCATGCAGAAACTTCCAAACTGACTACCGAAGTTGAAGTCGATATCTTCATTTTTGCAACCACGAGACTGCCAACTACAAACACCACCCAGACGGACAGACATGGCTTAGTGAATTCAGAATTTCGCGCTGATCAACAATATATATATACTGTATAGGGTCTCTGAAGTATCCTTTGGGTGTTATATACATTATGGAAAAAAAAAAAAAAACAATATGAGCATATCCCCCACCTTACAGTGGTGGGCGTAAAAAAAGAGGAAAACTTTAGATGACTGTAATAGTGTGTCAAAAGTGTATCTTTGCTTTTTATGGATAGATATTATGTGATAATTGTTGCGCTTGCAAGTGATATTAGAAACATAAAAGCAAATCAAATTAAAAAAAAATAACAACAACAACGACAAAGAAACGAAGAACATTTAACATTACTTTCAAAATTGCACTTACATTAGTCATTTCTAAAAGTTGAAATTCTTTTTTAATGGGAATAAAACCGTAAAGTAACTTTTTTAAACGTAAAGTTTTCCTAATAATTACACCAAAAGTGCAGTTTAGGGCAGAATGAAATCGAGTTGATTGGAAGTATGTAGTTTTGGGTAAGCAAAGGGAGAGAAAAAGAAAAACAAAAAAATTATGCAAAGAGAGGGAGAGAAAGAGAGAAAAGCAATATAAACTTCAAGTAGAAAAACGTTTACGTTCGGTTTAACCCGAATTATTTAATACCCACCACTGGCTTTTAAACGACAATCCATCACCAACATAAAGCAAAAATCCATTCACATGCTATATTATATATGGGATCGTAGATATCGTATAGCGTATATTATTATTATTATTAATTACATGGGCAAAACGTATTACAACCTAGAAGATCTATTGTACACCCCCACGCCCCACCACTCCAGCTTTATGATTTTTATAAATCACTCCATCTTCTTTTGATCGGAGCACTATACTGTGTTCGGCAGAATGCTCGCCAAACACATGGTGCTTGATTCTCTAGATGGCCTCAGCTTCACATAGAATATGATGGGACGTTTCGTTGGTCCCTTGGCAGAATCTGCATGAATCGGTATCGAACATACGGAGCACCGTGCCGTGTATGGCAAAACGCTCGCCAAAAATATGGTATCTGATTCTGTAGATGGCCTCACATTTATATAGAACATGATGGGACATTTAGTTCGTCCCTTGGCAGAATCTGCATGAATCGGTATGGAATATACCCATGATTTTCAGATGATATCTGAGGAATTATGACTAGTGTAGAAACAGGTGAATAAACATAGGCCGCCTGTTTTTAGAACGTGTCCTATCAGAAGATTTTATGAATTTTTTGTCTGCCGTTGTTTTGACCGTTTTATTCTGTGCCCCTTGCGATACCAGCCTATTAATATGGCTTCTTGACACGCCACAGAAGAATTCAGGACCTAACATGGCCCCTCGGGGTCTCCTGTTTGCTTACGTTGCACTCAAAACCCGAACGACCAGGCACCCATATTAGGTGGACTTTATTGTGCCTGCCTAGCTCATTCAGTGTTTGAAGATATTCCAATACAAGCCCCTTATATTTGAACTATACACTCGGTCTATCTTAATTTTCTCGCCGTTTTTAAAACTCTACTTTGTGAATATGGTCCAAATGCGTTTGTCGAACTGAATCAAGCCTTTACCCAATCTCCAATGTTGACAAAAAAGGTTTTGTTTAAATACAATGTTGATAGTCGATCAAAGACGCCCCTCAGAGTAACCCTCAATTTAACGGATGGACCAGTGAAAATATTTCATTATTCTTACGGGTGAAGAATACAAGTACTTTGTGACATATGGAATTTCCCTAATAACATTAGAAACCTTTGCCTTTGTGGTGGGTATAACAAAATCAATTTCAAGCTGAACTCTCAAGACCATATAACTGCAAAATCGTTTAGAGATAAGAAATGTTGCAAAAAAAAAAAAAAAAAAAAAATTACATCTAAATAATTTATTACAAACTAACCTTTCACTTAAGATCGGTTGTGTCTGATTTTGGTTGCGATAAACACTCAAATTTTGGTAGAAACCTTGTTCACCATTGTTGCCATTAGTATTGCTATTAGCTGGAGGATTGCTGCTGTTGGCCAAACTATGTGTGCTGCGTGATTTTGAATTTGTCATAGCTTTAAAGACATTGAAAACAAATAAATTTTTTTTTATTAATTTTTTTTCTTTTCTTCTTTTTTTTTTAATTTTCCATCGAAAAACTTACAGATAGCACCACTGCTGCTATGATGATGTAAAGCGGGCACCGATTTACTATTAGGTAAGTGTGTAGTGTTAGAAGTAAGGGGACCACCTAAATTTCTACTATCCGCACCCATGCGTGTTAAATCTCGTTCGGACATGCGGCGGTTACCTGCCGTTATAGCAGAGTTACAAATGGCATTAGAGTGTTGATGGTGAAGATGATTGAGTTATTGTTTAAGCATGAAAAATAAAAAAAAAATTTTTTCTTCAAGTTAATTAAGTGAAATTATTTTAAAGAGAATTTAAAAATAATTCAAAAAAATAAATAAATCGTAAAGTAAAAATCAAGTTATCACAAATCAATGAGAAATCATAAACTGAAAGAAAAGTCGAGAAACTGAAGCCGATTAATTTAAAAAAAAAACGAGCTTTTAATAGATGCTAGAGTTGCATAACACATTTGCTGAGTTGAGTTAAGAATCGAGGTGCCAAAATTTTTTCATTTCTAATATTAACAAGCCTTGGAAATTTCAATAACAAATAACAAACGATCGCAGCCGTGTCAAATGGCGATTTGAAATAGTTGTTGTACCCAGTTTTACATCACATCTGATACAGATACTGTAGATGAGGGTTTGCGTCGTTGAGGCAGATTACGCCCATTTAATCCAAATTAAATTCCATTGTGGCCCTCGACTGGTTATATTTGTTTTTATTTTCAGTCTTTCATTGACGAGTGACGATTGTGAGCCTATCAGCAACAGAAGCACACATGAACAGACAAAGCTAAGTCGACTCATAATATGAAATTAATCAAGGTATGCGTTCTAAGCGAGAAGCTTTCTAAACACTTAAATAAACTTTTAGAAGGCTGTGTTCTGTATTAATACCAATTTATGAATCAACGTCCGCTACGGAATGTAACTAAGTAAGAAATTAAGCTTTTTGCAGGCGTGGTTGTCAATGTCATGGATATTCCAAACTGCATCTTTTTATCGCGAGTTGCAAATGTGAGAATTTCAACAACGAATGACAGACCGACAAACATAACTAAATAAGCTTCAAATCTTTGTCTGATCAATATTATATGTACGCTAAGGAATACCTGGTGAACATATGTGAATGTTACAAATAAATAGACAAATCTAATATACTTCCACGCTTCAATCGCGGATATAAAAATAAAAAGAAACAAAACATGATTGTTGTTTTAAAAGAAGGCTAAAAATAAAGCAAAAAAATAAATTCTCCTGCCCTATATATACGCTAAAATGTTAGGGGAGCTTGGCTGTACGTTTACCACAGCAATGAATAGACAGGTGGACAGACGGACTGACAAATATGTCCTTGATTGGTCGATAATATGTAAACTTTACACATTTTGACTAAAGAATGCAATTTCGACATTTGATACTATTCAATAGGCGTCGTCGATTTTTTCGAATTTTTTACAGGTGCGACGAAACCACCCATAGAATATAAATGCAAGATTAGGGGGGTTTGCAAGTAACAAACAAATAACTAATATTTCTTTTCTTTTTGAAAACCGATAGCCCCAAGTTATATTGCACTGTGAATATATCCTCGAATCGATTTAGCCCAATTTCAATACCAATCTGCATAGAAGAGCTTCCAATATTTTTGGCAAATTTGAAGCAGCTTTTTTTTGCGATCAGCATAGTGCTTACTACAGAATTTATGCAGACAGACAGATGAACAAACCTAAATCGGTTTAGAATTGATGGAGCTTCCCTCTGGTTGTTGCAAAAGTTTTAACAAAAATGAAAAACCCTTCTTCTTTCTGTAATGAATACACATGTAAGAAAGTTAAATTCGATCGGGATCGAATCTTTAATACCCATCATCGTTATCCTAAAATGTACAAAAGAAGTAAAAGAACAAAATTCTCTCATACTCTATAATATAAAGCGGATGCAGTTAATTTCTTCTATTTTCACAATAAAAGTATTCGTTATAGGGGCAGGTGGGCGTTGTAGGCGTGATCTTTGAAAACTTTAAGTCAATTCCAAATTCTTTTGCAAATTTGCATTTGTGGGAGAATGTTTACCACAAACACTACACAGTTGCGCATATAGACGAATAGGCGGACATGTTTAGGTGCATTCCTAAATTGAAACTGGCCAAGCATTTATATAATTTGGAGGGTTTCTGAATCTTGTTTCTGCACGTTATAAATTATAAATATTGAACAACAAAATTAAATTATCATGCACTATAATATTGTATAGGCGTGGTTGCATATTTTATGATTTTTCTACAGATACTACAGCATCGCCTAAAGAATATATATCCAAATTTTTTTAGGTTGATCTGCTTTAGTTTTTAAGTAATGGAAAAAAGCAAGAGAAAACCAATTTTTTATCCCTTTTGAAAATAGAGGAGTTCTGAGTTTGCGCGGTATTGTAGGCGTGTCCTTCGACCGATATGGTCCATTTTTACTACAAAACTGCGTGCAAGAACTTGCAATGTCACTGTCAAATCTGAAGTTGCTAGTTTCATTTTTGCGGCCAGGAACAGATATTACACAGACGGACAGAGGGATATGCTTAAATCGATTTAGAGTTTGCCGCTGCTCAAGAACATATACACTTTGTGGGGTCTCTGATGCTTCCTTGTAGGCGTTGCAAACGTTTTGAGAAACGGAATATACCCCTCATAGTTCGGTGATGGGTATAATAAATGAATAAATTAAATAATGTTTAGAAAATTTGGGATAATTTATAAGCTTTAAGATGGTAAAAGCAATAAATTTTAACGAATTGTAATAACATTATAAGGCAACCCTATTTTTTCATAACTACGATAAGAATTTATCTTTTTGATGGCAACAATGCCTCTAATTTTAGTTTTAAAATTTTTGGAAATTAAATAAATTAACTAAAGGTTAGAAAGTAAATTTAAAAAATGGAATTAAAAACTGAATTAAGTTAATACAAAAAAAAGCTTTCATGAAAAGCAAAAGAACCACCTCTTGACTGAATGTTGTTATCAGAAATTAAAATTGGCCAAATGTGAAGGCTTAGATGTATCATGGTGATCATTATCATCATCATTATCGTCATCGATATTATCTTCTATATCACTGAAGTCGTCGATAAATTCGTCATATTGACAGCAATGAGGGCAGGTTGACGATGAGGTTGTCGGATGCGATGAAAATGTCATAGACTCGCCCGATGAATTCGATCCGGACGAAGAAGAGTGTTTTTGTTGTTTACGCTTTATAGCGCGTACAGTTTTCGCTTTGGGGCAAAGTTTTATGCTATGACAACGTTGAAATTTTGTTGTTTTTATTGCGGTAGATTGATCGTGACAATGACAGCAGGGAGGACAAGTTTGGCCATGTTTAGCCGATCGTATCGAATGATAGGATGAAGGTGAAGATTCCGATGAATTAATTGGATATTTATTTTTATTATAACTAAATGTTTTGATATTCATTTTTGCTAATTTATCGTTACAGTGATGAAAATGCTGTTGTTTTTGTTCGTGTTGTTGCTGTTCGTCTTTAATAATTTCCTTATTAATATTAGAAATAATTCGTTGCTTAGTTTCATTATGATTACTTGAAATTGATTCATTTTTTTTTTTATCTAAATTTACTTCAAAATCTTGAGCTTCCGCTCCGTGCAAACTCCATTCTTTAAGTTGTTTTAATATATTCTCTTGTTCTTCGCTTGTCAATTGATTGACCTTCGTTTTATTAGTATTCGAATTTAATTCTTCGCTATACAAATTATTACAAGATTTTGTTAAACTGTTTTCACAATTGAAAAGTTTATGAAAATCTCGATGATTATTAAAATATTCAGTCATTTCTTTAACTTTACCTTCACCTAGAGATTTTGAAAATTCTTGTAAACCATTTGATGGCTTTACATTTTTTATTGGATTTTTTTCAATATCGTTTATATTGCTTTGACTATATGATTTTTGTTTAAAGGAACTATCGAATTCCGGCGATGTTGTGTAATTCTTTATAGGAACTTTATCAATTAATTTATTGGTCATTTGGTTACAATTTAAAGGCAATTTCGCGGGATTATCATCATTTTCTGGTGGTGTTGCTGGGATAATATTTATATTATGTACTGTAACGGGCGGAATAAGCGTTTGATTCGTATAGTAACAAGTGGAAAGAGAACGTCTTTGTCGCGGCTGCTGTTGTTGATAATAATTGAAATCGTTTAAACCGCCGCCGGACGAAGTTGATCGTATGCTATTTAGCTCACGTTTCGGTTTAAGAAGAACTTCGCGTGATTGTCGTCTCAATATTGGCATTTGTTCGACTGATTCGAGCGACGATGAATTGCTTCCATCCGAATTGTTATTATCTTCGGCCGCCGATGTTGAACGTCTCGAATTTAATTCTCTACGTATTCTTTGAATTAAAGGTATTTTCTCTTTTCCTCCTTTGTTTAAATTCTGTTCCTCTTGGGCCACCTTAGCGAATGACATTTGACTACTAATTCTGCTTAAGGCTTCGTGGGTTTGCGACTTACGACTCATCATATTTACATTGGCAATATCATCTTCCAAATCGAAACTAACACTTTTGCGTTGTTGGTTTTCCGCATTCGTATTCATTTTTCGATTGCTACTTGAGTTCATAATGCTCTTGGTAGTAGTGCTGGCAGCACTATTGGGTATTAATGTTTCTTTTTCTTTGTCGTCATCGCTAAGTGAATTTTCATCTATAAATGGTATATCTTCTTTGTTAGCTACCGAAGCTATTCCTTCCTCATTGAGAGGTTGATGCACTTCAGTGTACACGAAATTTGTAAATGATTCATTCGAAGCGGTTTTATTGGCACTTGATTCGGGTTCAGTGAAATCTTCAATATAAATGGAAGGTGGCGGTATATTTATATTACATGTACTGTTCGTACGCTTTCTTAATGGACTTGTGATTTGATATTGCTGTGGCATTGGCCTCATACCCGCACCCAAAGCATTTGAGATATTATGTGTGCTCAGTGATACTTCTTTGCTCATATTATATAAACTACTTGCCGACCGGGCTATCGGTCTTGTATCTCTGTAGCGAGGATCTATATGAAGCTCTTGATAGCCTCGGGCACATCTTTCTTCCAGTAGACAAGAAGCACTTAACCTGCGCACCGGCGGAGACGAAGGAGAATACATACCACCTATGTAAGAATTGCGTCGACTACGATTTAAGCTATCATCCGAAATGGATGAATGGTGACGTGGGATATGATATGAATGTCTTCGTTGTGTTGGCTGTAAATTATAGCTAGGAAGCTGCATGAATTGTGTTTGTGAATCATGTTGCAGTTGGGGATAAATTGTTTGCCCTTCTCTATGAGCGATTGTCTCGTCATCTTTTATTTTCATTTTAGCATTAGTAGTATGTATAAATAATTTTTAGCATTTAATTAATCGCAAAGTACACAAAGTAGTGGCAGCATGTAATAGAGGAAATTCAAAATGGCTTCTTAGTACAACAAGCAAATATATAATTTATCTACGGTGTAAGTGAGATAAGCAGTGTTACAAATTTGCTAATTATTTCAAGAGTTTACATGGAGCAGTTAAAATTTTGAATCACTTAAGTTACTAGGATATTTACTTTCTTTAAAAGATTCTTAGGAAAAGTACACATATATATACATACCACGTTGGATAACAGGACTGGGTTGTTGGAGAAGCGTAGCTAAACCATGATAAATGGCGCCTTGTTTCGCTACTTCTAAAGTGACGACAGGCCCCGTACGCACCAAATAATCAGCCGCTCTATTGATTGAGTACGGATTTAGTTTATCAATATATAAATTGTAATAGGGCTAGTATTACCTTTCTTGGGTTATACCAATAAGACTTTGACCATCGACACGTAAGAGTTGGTCACCGGCTTGTAGCCGTCCATCGGCATCGGCTGCTCCGCCGGGTACCACACTTTTTATATAAATGCCCAAACGTTCTTGACCGGCTCCCTTGGCGGCTACAATAGATAATCCCATACCGTTCGAGTTCTTTTGTAATTTAATAATTTGCTTTTCAGGTTGAGGCAACTTATTTGACATCGCACTAGAAGAACGCGCCTGTAACGAGTATATTGCTAAAACACTGCCAAAAATCAAGTGCAAAATAATTCTTACATTAAATTGATGCATATACACGGTCCACAATCCTATAGAGGTGGGCTGGGCAGCTAAGCGGCACATGCCCTGTTGTTGTAAAGGATTTAGAAAGTCAACCAATCCGGATGGTATGCCCCGGACAACGTCACAACTGAAACCGTCGTCGGGCAGCAGTAAAGCCAAATGTAATTCGGGTGTCTCTTCCAAGCGAATTTCACGGCCATCGGCACGTGTCAATTCATCGGCTACCGATTCAGCCATGCCCAAAGCGGTATCTACAAGATTCCTGGGTATTTTCTCTTGCTGCAGTAGAGCAGCCATTTGTAAAGAATTCAAACGAAAGCAAGTACAAGCTAATTGCTGCACGCCTTCAACAGATGTCTTGGGCGCTTGTAAAAACTGAGCGCATTGATTGATTTTAGCCAAATGACAATCGGCTGCTAGCTCTAAACCTTGACGTTCGGCCCATAACTCCAACAATTGTAAGCGCTCTGTCATTACCTTACCCCACTCGGCGGTACACATGTGAGAATTGGTAACAATCTAAAAAAAAAAAAAACAACATAACAACATTAATATACAAAAGTCATAAAAGTTAAAAAGAATGTTTTTAAGAAAACAAATGTTAACGAAAGAAAACTCAACACAAACATTTTTTCCTCGTGCTCACCGTATTAAAGCATATCACATTAATGTAATGGAATAGTTGGGAAAATAATTGTATCGTCAGAGCTGCGTTAACGCGACATCGTCTTAATAATGCCATTGCCGAGCCGAGCACTGTTAATACTAGGCCAGCAGCCGAACCATGATCGATAGTCTCGGAAAGGAATTGATTGAGAGTCTGCGAGAGTTCAACGCGAAAACAATTGACTAAATTACGAAATGCGGTCTGCACGCTTTCCGCCAACACTTCTTGAGCTTGTACCGAAAAAGCGCTTATGTGACGATCCGATTTAAGGAAATGCAAAAACTCTGAACTGTTCGCCATCCAAAAAGCCAGGATGCGTTGATCTTTATATTGCTCCTGAACTACAACATTATAAATTAGACTGGCCACGTGATGTAGAAATTTGGTTAATTTATGGGCACGTTCTGTAGGCTGCAGCTCTGGACGGTAGTGTGTTGAAGCGCGATATCTGTAAAGATAAAATAGCAAGAACAACTTTGAGCATTTCATTCACTCTTTCTCAGGTTTGGTTTCTTTAACTTAATTTTTGCATAAAAATTCAACAATTGCGTCAATGATTAGCTAATCGATTGTTAATTGCTTTATAGCAATTATTTACTAAACACAAATTTCCTCAACATTATCTAAATTATTCTGTGTAAATTAAATTAAGTGCAATAGTATTTGATGCAAAATTTCACTTTCATTTTAGTGATATATGACTCTTCCTTCATTACGTTTAATTGAAGTATTTACATATGTATTGCGTCAACGTAGTTCCGCTCAAAAATGATGTAAATCGTATATGTTTCTAGTCGGAAATAAATATTTCCAGTGCTTAAGTAGAGAACTATTCGAAAGTACATTTGATCAAAAGCTTGAGAGAATTCTCGAACGGATGATGTATAGGTAAAGACCCAACTTAACATTAATGGCAATGCTGAATAAACTGAAAAAAAATATGGCCCATACTAGAGGGAGATTATTGAAAAATTAGAAATTTCATACGGATTTTGTCAGATTAATTGTTTTCAAGTTCGGAAAAGAATACTTTAGGGATTAGGTGAAGGCATGACGTTTGAATCCTGCGTATATATCCCTGAAAAACTGGCGTTCATACGTTACCCATGACCGCCTTCATGTTTTTTTGAATATTATATACACGGACGCATGGACATGCTTAAATCAATTCAGAATTTGATGCTGACCAAAGTGTCTAAGGTTCCCTCCTCCGTGTTGCATGTGCTTCAGCAATATTAATATACCCCTCATCTTTACGTGTTGAGTATAAATATTATAACTTCCAAAATTTAGCTGTAACAAGTAAAAGCATTATAATGGACCACCACCCACCTTTAAGTACTACCCTACACTATTTCGCTTAATATTGATGTTAATGTTGTGTGTTTCCAAACCATTTCAATGGCGTTCGTCCACATATCGGCGTACCAAATTTCATCAGCATATATTAATATTAATAGCTCAACATCTTAACGTAGAAGACAGCAATGCAAAATGGACAGACGGACAGATAAGCTGGGTCTATCATAAGATAAGTCCCTCAGGATGTTGTATGCATCAATAAACAAATACACTCACAAATTACAAATGGTGCGGGTGTTGCATATCTCTTAACAAAATGAATACATATCCATCTTGCGGTAGGGAATATGAAAATGCTGAAAGCTGGGCAAGTTTCTAATGCCTTTTTGGAAGTGCGTACCTTCATGCCAATTTCCCGTTTCCGTTTATTCTCACGCTGTGTTAAATATTCTGCGCCTACTCTTTGATATTTCTAAAATCACTCCCCCTGGAAAACAAGCACACATTCAGCTGACTGAATGTCACCAAAAAAGACTACAAATATTTAATCGGCATCCTTCCTACAATTTGAAAATGACTCTCTGTACAATTGCAAACGGAATTTTCAAAATGAATCGTTTTGTTTGCACATTTCATAATTCACGTCATCCAAGGGGACTCATATATTATCAAAGTAACAAGGCAAAGTGTTTCGAATAAACACACATAAGACCAAACAAAAAAAAAAAAAAAAAACTGTAGAAGTATTTGCGTAGATATTAAAAATTCTGTTCATGTATCCTTCGAAAGTTCAAGCTAAAATTCAAAGTTTACAAAATCACAAAAAAAAAGAAGAAGAATCATAAATTCACAAAAAATGGGCAACTAAGCATAGAAAGAGAAAAAATGACTACGAAAGTACTGAGAAAGTTTGTCTTGGAATTTGTAAGTAAAAAAAAAAAAAAAGAAGAAAAGAAATTTGTATAATATTTAGGACGAATCTTTTGATTCCTACCCTAGAGTTTTGATATAATTTCAAGATCGCACATAACTATAGCCTCATTCGATTCATATCTATCGGATGCCCTTTGAATTATTTTAAATTGTAATCTTATAGCGGCATTTTGTCGAATGCCTTCAATGCTCCCATTGCAAGTCTATTTATATAGTGAGTCTTATTAGTATATATGATCTTTACATTAATACGGACCTGTAAACCCGACTTACAAACTGTCAATAGTTTAACTGTTTTTCTTACGTAAGTAAGTAAAAATCACGCAATTTTAGGACTGCAATGAAGGAGAAAGAAAATATGACTTTATTAGCTTTTTAAAATTCATGATTAGGTCCCCATGGGCTGTCTTCACCAACTCATTCCATTTAGAGAGTATTAAAACAATTGTAAGGATTAATGCTATTGCTACTAGAAAAAGTTTTGAGATCGCAATCATGATGTCAACGGGCGTACAGGCGGACACATCTGCGGACAAGAGCCCTCCTCACTAATTTTCGAACTCGTTCCAGTTAGAGTGTATTATGAATAAATTTTAAAGATTACAGTGGGATATAAGTGGCTTCCTATAAATATTTCTATAGGTTGCAAGCTTTTAATGTAACTAATATACTTGACACTAGGATAAGCGCTACAATAAGACGAATTTTTACAGAGAGATTTGATTTAAATATAAAATAAATGACTTTAGATAGAAAAAGTTTTGTAAGAAATTGCTTTGCATAGTGACTTTTGTATAGTCAAGATATGAAAAGCGATGTAAAGCAAAGTATAAAGAATACATTTAAGAGAGTAATCAATCAAATAATGAATTGATTTACTTACCTGGCACATAAATAAAGCGAATAGACAGGAGCTAGTTTAAAATGCGGCGAATTTACATCTAATTCGGTGATTATGTGTCTTAAAAATAGATCCTGATGAGTTTCAGGAAATTCTAAAACAGCTGGTAATATGGGTTCTTGACCTTGAGACTCGACAATGCTCATAGCCGAGCTTGAAGGTAATTTCGGTGATCTAAAAAGAAATCTTAATATATTGCACAAGAATATATATTTTATCTTTTATCGTTTTATAAATATATATATATATATATATATATATATATGTATTTATATATGTATATATTTTTTAATTAACATACATACATACATATATACATACGTACATACGTACATACATACAACAACACATATATGTCAATAATGAAACTGATAAAAAGGAAAAACAAAAAAGCGAGGAAAACATTAAATGCAAATAACAGAGAGAAAGAGAGAGGGAGAGAAAGAAATTAACATAAATTTGCAATGAAACGAAGATTGAAATATTTCAAAAATTGCTTTCCCTTTTTAAAGTGACAAACACGTGTGGTATCGTGTATATCTGTTGTGTATGAACAAGTGTGATTGATTATGAAAAAAAAAAAGCTGAAAAAAATTGATTCTTTCGCGTTAATAATTTAATAAAAAAGCATTTTTTTTTTTTTTTTATCTAAGAATCAATGGTTTTTTTTGAAGAAGCTTACCTTTCTTGACTATTTGAACCAGCGGACTTTAAACTGGATATTGATTTAGTTTCATTTTCCAGATTACCTTCTAAACTTTGAGCATCACCACCGCTATAGCTGCCGCTACCGGTTCCTGTATGATGATTATTACTTTCATTACCATTCGCACGCAATTTACCATCAACTTCCGTAAGCTCAGCAGAAGTATGTGGATTGCTTGATTGTTGTTGTCCTTGTTGTTGTTGCTGTTGTTGGTGATGATGATGTTGATGCTGCTGCTGTTGTTGCGGTTGTTGTTGTTGCTGATGATAATGATGATGATGTTCATATTCACTTTTATGCGTCTATGTTATAGGGTAGGTTAAGTTAAGATATATAGGGAAAAATTTGATATAATAAAATTTCCGCTTTTCATAAACGTCCCCGAAAGACGTTACGATAAGCTTGTACGTACCGAACTTAATGCTCCATCTTCATCATTCCAAGAGCCAGGAGATGTAGGAGACCGACTGTTTTCAGTTGTTGTTGTTGTGGTTGTTTGGTTTTTTTTATTTTTATTTATGTTGCAAGTGTAGTGTATGCGTGTGTATCAGTGTTTTTTTTGTTGTTGTGAGTGCAATTTTTTTTTTGTTTTTTTTTTAATAACAAGCACACAATATAAAATTTATGTTATCCGACAGAAAAACGAAAAATGCACGCACAAAATGAAAACAAAAAAAAAAAAAAAAAATGAAAGAAAAAATGGTTAACATAAAATGAAAAGAAAATGAAAATTACAAATAATTATTGAATTTAAATTTATTTTAAGTAAAGGGATAAATAGTTTAAAGAAAAAGCTTTTAAAATTTATATTTATATGCGCAAAAAAAAAAACAATATGAGTTAAGTGAAAGATGGTAGGCATTATATTTGGGCAAAATTTATTTTTTCTTTTCCAAATACTTTGCCTTAGTAGGTAGGGTAAGTTGCAATATAAATGCCAGTTGTGTACATATTAGACCAGGCAAGGGAAACCAACAGGCTTCGGACCTATGTAAGAGAGTAAGTGTTTACCAAAAATTTATTTTTTCCCTTTCCAAATAGGCCTCAGGAATTAAGCACATTGCGATACAAAAACGCTTGCACTGACTCAGTTCTCTATACATTGGAGCAGACATAGGAAACCGTTGGCCCGTGGAGCGCCGTCAAAGGATATGTAATCGGTGCAAATTAATTATTTCCTTTTCCAAATAGTTTGCCTTAGTAGGTAAGGCAAATTGCAATACAAATACGATTATACTGGCACGGTTGTCTCCTATAAGGCGCTTATGGTTTTTGTATACTCTGTGGAACGAATCTGTCGTATTACAGAGGCGTCTACTGTGTATCTTATTCATAGTTTACGCTTTTTAAAAAGATTTTCGTTTACGTCTTGAATTGACTCAAAAACAATGCCTTCTAGATGGTAATTATACCCTACACTTATTGTATCACAAAAGTATATTAATAAGTATATCAAGTTTGTGCGAATGTACGTAACACCCGGCAGGACTTGAGATCGATTCAGAATCGCTTTTTGCACTCGCCTGCCCGTCTTGTTTCATTGTGTTCAATCCACGGTAATTCTTGATATATTTTCGGCTTTCTTCCTCGGTGGTAATTGTGCGGCAGTCTATTTCAGGTTCAATATATCTTGCCATCAGATTATAAACGAATCCTATCAAACATTATTATCTCTCGAGTCTTAAAAACTTATTTATGAATTTTCGAGCACCGATTTCTAGATTTTGTCTATCGCATATTCGTTCAAGATCAAAATCATCTGACAGAGGACTGTTTGTTCATTGGTAGAAGGGTGTATTAATGTTTTGCGGACGTACGCAACAGCTAGAAAGATCCAAGACAAGCCAAGATGCCGATCAATTCAGAATCATTTTGTGCATCGATTTAAGCATTTCTGTCCCTCTGTCCGTGTTCAATTTACAGATCGTAGTTTTTGATCTATTTGAATGAAACTCGCCAAAATGACATGTTCTGGTCCTAAGACTAACGCTATTGGTAATGGTTTGGATTGGACCGCATTTTCGGGCACTTCCTATAGAAGATTCTTATTTCGAAAAGTCGTTATATGAATAACAGTATGAGTTAATGGTTATTCGTGACCCAGTATAATGCTTTTACTCGTTGTGGCTAGCTTTTCCTAGTTACGTCACCGAAAAATGAAGGGTATTCGGTCAAAATGTGTGCAACATCCACAAGGAAGCCTCAGAGAAGTAAGTATAAGATAAGGCATACACATTTTTAATAATAGGCAAATTTTGAATCGATTTAAGTAAGTCAATCTGGCCGTCTGTATGTCTGCTCATGTATGTATGTACTTATATATTGATCATTAATAGGGAAGTACACCAATAAATATTTGTTTATTACATTTTACTATAAACATGGTGGGTATAAAAGTTTCACCCGCAGCGGATATGATCTGCTTACTTGATTGCTTAAACTAGCTTACTTGCGATCCGATCTATTTGTACTACGGGTTTAAGCGGCCTTTGCAAATATTTGTAAAAAGTTTTAGATGAATATCTGCTACAGATCGAAATTTATAAAATCTTCTTTATCATGAAAAATTATTTTAATTTCATCTGTGGATATTAGCCAGGCACATATATTGAAGATGCGGTTTTTTATAAGAACTTCGTCAATTATTAGAGTTGTATTTTTGAGAATAGCATATGAGAAATCGACTTGGAATATTACCTTGATCAAGTTTATAGTATTGTAGTAGTTCTAAAGGGCCCTAGGAATGGACCAAGAGCAGTTATGTAGAATATGTAGAACCCTGCCTTGTATGCAAACGCAATACAATGATTTTAAATTGCTATCTGTGACTATGAGTAAAGAATAGGGAAAAATTATAAATTATATCTTATACCACTTATTGTATTGTAGAAGGTTGTATTAAATTTGTGCGGATGTATGCAACACCCAAAAAGACTTGAAATGGATTCGCTTTTTATTAAACCCACCGTTTCAGAATCACTTTCCGGATCGTTTTAAGCTTACCCGTCCAACTATCTATTCGTGTTGTTTTCATGTGTTCAACTTACAGCTCGCAATTTTTGCAGTATTTTAATGAAAATGGAACTACTTCCCATAAAACACCTAATTTTGAAAAGTCGTTATGTGAGAGACAAGTAAAATTAGTTTCTGAATCATTTTAAGCTTTTCCGTCCCTCCGTCCATCTATCCGTTTCTCTTGTTTTCATATGTTTAATCTATACCTCGCAAATTCTTGCAGTATTTTGATGTAATTTGCTACACAGATGAGATGAGGGCGAACGCCATTAAACATGAAACCACATATTCGACTACTTCCCATATAACACTGCATTTTGATGGTCCGCTATATGAATACCTATGGGATGGCCTAGGGTATTTAATTGTGTGTTTACTAGTTCGTTTCAATTTTCGAGCTTTCGAGTAAGGGGCTAATCTGGTACAGAAGTTTGAGTTAGTCAAGAAATTTTTTTGTTATCACAAACGAAAAGGATTTCAATTGGATGCGTAAACATAAGCGAATTTTTCTTTTTTTTTTGTGCTTATATAACATTATTTTTTCAAGGATGGTGATAAAATATTTTTTAAAAGCTTTTTCTTCTCATACTCTATAAATGACATGAACATATAAAAACAGATTACTAAAATAACACATTAATGGTAGTGAGATTTTTGGAAAAAAAAAACACGTCACACAATAGTACGAGGTTTGAGTTGTTCAAGTGGATGCTATTGCAAATATATATATACATATATATGTATATTTATAACTTACCTTTCGTAGAGACATGCTGAATCCAATTGCGACTGCGATAAAGCCAAATTGTAACGACCGTCCGTTGGTGAGTCAACGAAACGATAAGATGCTACACGACCGAACATTACCACAGAACCGTTCTACAAAAACAAAAAAAAAAATAAAAGAAAGGACAAATCAAATATTTATTCGCTTTCAAAATAGTTTTAATCAAAGCGAAAAACGAACGAAAAAAATGAAAAAAATAATAATAGAAAAAATAGAAAAAAAAAAAAAAGTTAAAAATCACAGGCACGTCCAGCGTTCACAAACTTTTATAATCAACTAAAAACAGGGGGCGGCGTTTGATATTAACTAAATATTCTGTTGTACTTTTGTATGAACATCGAGAACAACATTGAATCGCAACAAATTTATACGTAAATGAAGAGGTTTTCGATGATTAAAAAGGGGTTAAAAATTATAAGCTACTCTTCACTTGTTTTTCTTTCTTTCTTTTTTTTTGTTTTTTTTACTTTGTTTTTGTTTTTCTTGTATCGACAATTAAATCTTCTGATTGTTTTGAACGCCCCCTCCAGGAATTTAAATAATAATAACAGTTAACCTTTCCGATAGAAAAGCAAGACAAGAATAATATTTCGCTCAAGTAAAATGTATTAACAAACACCACTAGGCTTGTGTTCGATATATTATATCGTTTATATTGTGTAACTTATTGGAGGTATCGTGAGTTGTGTACATTATTATATTATATCGTATCGGTTATATCGTGGATATTTTAAGCTATAATTTTGTACATTTTGAAATTATCTCAGCTGACTGTTGTTCGAGTCCGTAATTTTGTTAAAAGACGAAAACTAGCAGACTTTCTTAGGGATTCATTAGGGATTGATTTAATTACAAGCTTGACGTCACTTTGACGAGAACTTTAAGATTAAATTTCGTTTTTAGGCAAAGTTTTGAAAACACACGTGAGATTTCAACGAATAGGCTGACGGACTGATATATGTGGCTAATAACACTAATGGAGCGTATAGGTTTTTTTATCTGCCAGACATCTAACAACATATAGTTATATAACAATACATACTTATGCGGCCTGTGGCGGGTGTGAGAAAAGCAGAAAGAGAAAATTAAAAAATAAAATTTGAGTTTTTTGTGCATCTAACATTATCAACTTATCTTGCTTACTATATACATTTATATAACCACCTTTTAATTCTTTACAGTGATGCTTCTACGGGGTTTGTGCGTTGAACTTAAAGTGTAGAACAAGCAAAGTCAACTAATATCCTACACTACCCTGCAGTTATCCATGTATCGACTTTTCGAAATAAGAGCGTTGTATGGGAGCATCCAATCCGAACTACTGTGAACTAAATTTATTTATCTAGATAAGATTTGGAGATCTTATTCGTGAAAGCAACAAGCGAACGCATAGACAGATGGACGCCATCTTACTTTAATAGGCAAAACAAGAGGAAAAGCTTTAGTAGGCAGCGGTGAATTCGAATCACTTCGTCCTGTAGTTTAAACATAAGAAACGAAGACAGACAAACGGACAGACAGTCGATCGACATATGGTGGATGTATCTCAACTTCTTCTGGGTGCTGCATACAACCGCGCAAACTTAATATACTCTTCTGGTGCTAGAAGTGTAGGATACAAAAGTTATTTGTTATTCGCACGATGGCATATACGAAAATGCAGTTCGTAGAAAACAGAGTGTCTGTAAGGTTCCCTGCAATATTTATAACAACTTTCTTAACTGCTTACACAATTGTGCTTATCATGTAACGAATATCACAGCTCTGGCTTTTTCTATTTCTAGATTTTTTGGATTTATTATTATTCTTCTCTTTTTCAGTTTTTCTCATTTTTCTTTTCTTTTTTTTCATATACATGTATTTCAATAGAATTGGATATGTATGTGTGTGTGTTAGTGTATTTCTATAGAATTTTTTTTATATGTTCTTGGTAGCAGAATAACAAATGATTTGAATTGATATTTGGTTTGTAAGCTATTTTTTCATAGTGACGTGTGAGTGTGTGTTGTCCTTAAATTTCATTTACTTTTATGTTTTTATCAGGTTTAAATTTTACGTTTCTTTTTGAATTTCACGTCTGCTAGTTACGTTTTCTCAGCTCCTCGTATGTTTAAGTGGCTGTACTCGATATCTAGGAAACAAGGCTATCGACGATGGGGCAATAGTACGGTCAACATCTGTGGTCATGCTTATCCATGCACACCGCTGCCAATACTAAAGCCCAGGCTAGGGATTCCAATCCCTGATTGTCCTTTGAGCCTTCTCTTACTTGTGTCACATCTACGTTCTTGCTTCTCCGCCACAAGTTGATAAGAGCAATTATATCACCACTTCCCCCGTCGACGCGATCACATCCTGGGCAAAGTTGAAAACATGCAGATCTTCACTAAGCATATAAAGTTGCGATATAACTTTTTCTCCTGTAGGATAGTCCGTCCTTTTATTGTCTGAATAAAGCGCCTTATGTCCAAGGTTGCCTCTGCTAATATGTAAGTCTCAGAGGAGCGCAGCTGGATCATGACAGCATATTCAAATGCAACGTTCTATGTTGTTTACAGGTGTAAATATACAGATTGCTTCTATAGGAGGATGGCGTTGGTTCTATTGTGTATGCTATTAGTCACGTTTCACTTATGAATATTTTTGAACATCCCCTTCGAGTTTTTTAACTATGATCCATAGATGTGCAACTGCCCGTACAAACGAAATGTTGCTTTAAGATAATGTGCCGCAACTCTCGAAAGTATTATACACATCGATAGCAGCGCACATCAGTTGCCCTGTGGTCCATAGAACTTAGCTTCTCCTCCTATCGTACGACAGCAGTATACGAGCCCTTAAGAGCTTAGGCATTGCTTTGCTATTCTAATCGGACTAAAAGTTCGCATACTGAAATGCCAACTTAGTTAAGAAAATAAGAGGAACAGATGGAAAGTATGGCGGGAAAAATATTCGCTCCTAAGCAGTCGACCTTTAAAGATATGTTACTTCTGTCCTGTTCTCCTGCACTTGCTGTTTTCTGCTCGAACAAATTTGTAGACATTTATCCGGTGTGCAGGTCAGTTCTAAGGTAACTTAGATATGGACTTAAACCATAATCTACAGGTGATATGGGAAGTAGTTAAAAAAGTGGTCCGATCCCAAATATTTTCCTTTTTTATATTTAATTTCTCTTAATTTTAACCTAAGGACAATCAATGACTAAAAGTTATGGACTATATTCATTCTTCTAGGTAACTAGGTAAAAGTAATAAACGGACGCATAGACAGACGGGCTACATCGTTTCGGGTGTTCACTTTAGTCGACAAAACAAGTAAAAAGACTATAGTGGGCAGCGATTCGCCATTGAATACCCTACACTACCTTACAGTTATTTATATAACGACTTTTCAAAATAATGCGTTATATGGAAACTAATCGAAAAAGTGGCCCGATCCGTAGCGTTCATTCTTGAGCCAAAACATATGAGTATAAAAAATTTTGCGGACTATAGGTGAATACAGGCAAACAAGACGGACAGACAAACTTAGAACGATTCAGAGAGTGATTCTAAATGTATGCTTGCACCACAAATTGTGTTACGCACAACGAATAAGGTCGACGTCTTTGAGAAATCTAATACACCCTCTATAATGGACAGAGTTTTAAATAAAATGAATCATTTTATTGGCTTTGCAATAGATTCGATTTTCTCTGTTTTTAAAAATTAGATCAATATTTTATGATGCCAATATTTGCGCTTGTATATGTGCGTTTGCGGTTTTTCATTTATTCCAAATATCTTTTATAAAAATGCAATAAAGCGAAACGGAAATTATTTATGTAAATGCTTCAAATTCTGATGGTGCTGACGTATGAATGCCACGCATGAGGAAGGGATTGTGACGAAATTGGGAACGAATTACAATCTGGAAATAAATTCGAAGCATCTACGAGTTTGGGTACTTATAAGTTTGTAAGATTTTTTTTTTCTTTATGCAAACTCCTAAAGTCGGTGCTTTTGCGTAAGAATTTTGTTTTTTCTTTTTAAAGGTTTATAGCGAAGGACCTAATGGATTGCCAATATATAATAGAACGTAATAATAATAACTGAAAATGATAATACTCCATCTACCCGGAATAATCTCCTTCGTCTACTATCCTCCGAAATGGAACGGATCAAGACCGTACAAAGGCAATCTAACCAAAAAAAAAAAAAGAAGCGATTTACTGGACTAGCCTCCGCTTCTCCTCTCTTCCCTTGCACCGCACATTTCTTCAGCATACCGTCAATGTTATTTCTGATGGCCTGCAGCCAAAGGGCTCTTATGTTCCTTTCGTCTTCCAGAAAGTTATATCTCTTAGCAACGCGGTGCTGATCCATGAACATTTCGTTCGCGAAATCTCTACCTTATTTTTAATGAGATAAATTCAATCGCTCCCTCGAATTTTATCGTCATGAACATTCTTGAATCGATGTCTAAGACGAAGCGATATGTTAAACTTTGTTTTGCGAGGATCTTATGCTAAGAAGAATTCGTTCATTATTATAACAGCGGTTATGATATACAATATATACCACAGCTGGATCTCTTGGACACAATATGTCCAACTACTGGGTACTGAGTGGTACTGGGTAATGTCAGGGTGTTAGACCCCCTCTCTTCCAACTTTTATTGAATTTATTGCCTTTAGACATGCTGCAAAAACAGCTATAACGAATGGTTATAGAACATTTGTCGTTTTTTCAGGCAGCAACATAGCCCCTGCTTTTAATAAACAAAACAGATGTAAGTAATCAATATGTATGTGAAACACATGAGATGATGTGCCATCTTGTATGGGCGGTAGGTCACTGTGGCTTTTTGTAAACTACCCTACACCACTTGTGGTACGGGGTATATTAAGCTTGTACGAATTTATGTAACACCTAGAGAGGCTTAAGATAGACGACATTTTATTATATTGATTCTTGCCTGTCCATCCGTCCGTTTTTTTTCTTTTCTTCATGCTAGGGCAATTTTTGAGATATTTTGATAAAATTTAGTACATGGACGCGTGCTAGCCTAAGAACGCACGCTATTGATAATGGTCGGAATTTTTAGATCTTGTTTTGAAGAGTCATTATATGAACAATTGTAAGGTATTTTGTGACGGGCCGCGGTCCAAGATGGTCTTTTTTCTTGTTTTTTCAAGGTATTCCCCAAACACATTATTTGCATTTGCTTGCCCACAGTAAACATTTGAACTCGAAAGAGAAATTCTGCAAATTACAAGGAAAAGGCAAACACATATAAAAAAAGTGCGGTAAGAAGATTACCTTGCTTGCTGATCATCACTCATCAAATGACGGCGAATCTATTGACTTTACTTTTCTTTCTTTTTTTTTTTCTTTTTAGACCAATCACACAGGAGATGTGGACCCATCCGTGTAACAAGGTAACTGTCCAACAGAAGACATGAAAGAGAAAATAATAGGGGGATGATGGCCGCAGCCTACTGGATGTGCAACCAATTGGAAAGTGGTATGCCTTTACCGACTGAGCACACAGTCAAAGTAAACTCTACCGCATTGAGATTTGAACCCGTGAACATACTGACTTGATTGACAAACTGATCACACTTACTCAACTACTCACGTAGAGAATGCATTAAGGGTCATGCGAGGTGTCACAGTTAAAAGAATTTCAATGCCAATTATAAGGTGTCAACGAGAATGCAATGGATCGTTCAGAAAGCACATCTAATAATGTTCCGCCACAGTCGACGCAGGCGAAAAGATCATCGGGTAACGGCAGCGGTTTATAAAGAGATTAATTGTAATGAGCTAAAACTTTATGCGGAAATACGACAAGGATAGACGGAGGAATCAGGTACACCCATCTCTTTTTTTACACGATCTTCAAATAGCACTGTAAAAGAAATTTTTTTCTTAAATTCAAATTTTGACAGTGTCTTACAGAAGCTTGACAATAGCAACAGTTAAGAGAGAATTTCAGCTAATAATAGCTGATTTAATTCGTTAGCGCTTGAAAATACACTTTTTTACGCGAATTTTTCTTTTTAGCATCTTGTATGGATCTTGTGGACTGAATTCTTACTGTACAATAATTTTAATTTGTTTTTTGTTATATAAATGAAGGGTTTTTGTTTGAAGAGTATGTAATATGGATTTGATTACTACTTCTTTGTACGGTTTTCTGGAAAAATAGATGAGGTTTTTTCATCTCAGACAATCTTGAAATATTGTTAGAAATATCAAAATGTGTGCCATATGTCGAATGTATTTTTTTACCCGGTTTTTTTTGCACGGTTTTCTATGAAACACATCAGCCGTCTAAAAAAAGATCTGATCAAATTTACGGTGCGCATCACCCTAATCTTTCCATATTTCTACTTTTACCTTTAGGGACTTTCGCAGTCTCAATTGTACAGTTCTACACGGTTGACAAAATTATTATGCTATACTTCTGTCAAAAAAAAATCTATAATTCTATTATGCATTAAGTTATTACTTAATATAAAATTAATTTTCCTTTTTCATTATTTATATATATATATATATTTCTTTTTTATATCCACATTTAGACATACGTCACATAATAAATAAATTTGAAAAGAAATGTTAAATAAAATAAAAATAAATATATAAAAAAACAAAAGAAAAACAAATCAATACATAACGCGTATGATTGACGTAATAAAAAACACTCACGTGCAGGCAAATGCAAGCATAGTGCTTTACGGACATATATACGCACACAATGTCAAAGAAATTAATGTCATCAAATATATTGACCCAGAGTTAAAGGTTGATAACACAAAGTGTCGACTGCTTAGTAATTATGTCAAAAATGGACGGATATACTGGTTAGATATTAGAATATGTGCGCATAAAAGTGATTTTCTGACAACGCATTAGCCTGCACTCACTCATACATTAACAACAACAATTTGATAAACAATTACTGAAAGCGCATAATTAATTTAATGTCAACATCAGCTAATACGTACGTACAAGCATATGCAGGTATGCAAACATGCCAGCAAACCTGCGTACATATGTATATTGTTGTCAACTTTACCAAATTGCCATTACTTTGCCTATCTCTTTAGTATATATATATATGTATATATATATTGCGTTTGCGTGTTTGTGAACGTTTTGATTTACTTACATGTAAAATTGTGGGTTGGGTTATATGGTGACCATTGACAAAGGTCAAGGCATCTGTATGTAGCGGCGTCACAGTGCAGACACCTTCCACAAGTGAAATTAAACAATGACGCGGCTGTATAGATGGTCCAAACAATTGCAAACAATTAGTATTCGCCGAGCCAACCTAAAAAAAATATAAGCAAAAGATTTTTCCATAATTCTACACACACACACACACACACACACACACACACACACACACAATATAATAAACATACCTCGACCGGTTCGTTGCTTAACTTAATGCGTCGTCCACCATCTCCGCTATGCGTAACTTCTACTAGCATTGGTCCCTCACGTTCGTGGGATATATGATTGGTCCCGTTGGCAGCTCCTAAAGGCTTTTTCTTACGTCTACGCGGTTGCGAATCAGCTGGACGTCTTCTCACATGAAACATTATGGAACCTTAATAGAAACCCATGCAAAAAATGAAAAAAAAAAAATCATTACATTGTTTTAATTAAATGCACTAATGAAAACTTTCTAAAAAAAAAAATAGTAATATTACTATGTATATTCATTTCCACCAGACTACTTTTTTTTTTTTTAAATAATAGTTTAATCTTTTTTTTTTTTTCCTTTAGAGTTAGAAGAGACTTCTGCTCTGAAAGCTTTTTCGTTTGCTAATGTTTGAGGTAATTTAGTTTCCAGTTTTACTGTTATTTTTATTTTTTATTTTTTTTCTATGTGTACTCTCATTCACTCTCGTACGTAGTATTTAGAAAAATATATAATTCTTTTTTTTTATATAGAGAAACAAAAACAAAAATTGAATTACGTCCAATAAAGGTTTGTTGGAAAAGTTTTATGAAACAAAAAAGCACTTGCAAAACTTATAATCACTTTAGAACGAATCTTGTTACACCCACCATTTCGCGTAAATATATGTGAAAAGTCGTAAAGCATTTTTGGTAATTGAGATCGATCTAGATAATATATATATATATATATATGTCATCTTCCGGTGATTCATTTTCAAAAGTTCAGAAGGAATCATCAGAGAACCCACAAAGTATTTATTATATATATTCTTGATCAGCATGAAATTCTAAATAGATGTCCATCTGTCCGTCTGTTTAATGTCTATTACAAACATTCTTCTGGCTAACGGCTTCAAATTTGGCAGAAACATTGGAAGTTCTTGCATGCAGGCTGGTATTGAAAATGGGCCAAATCGGTCAAAGGACACACCCACAGCATCACGTAAACTCAGAACACCTCGCTTTTTCAAGAGGAATGAAAAATTGTTTTGGTCATTACTCATAAACTAAAGCAAACGAATCTACCAAAATTTGAATACATATTCTATGGGCGATGCTGTAGTATCTGTAGAAAAATCATAAAAAAAGTAACCGAGTCTGTCCAATATTATCGTGCATCAAAACTGAAATTTTTCTCAACGCCTCTATAACTCACAGACGTAAACTTCACAGATCTCACAACGTATATAATTTCTTGACCAGTTTCAAATTTGGATTGCACCTATACATGTCCGGTTGTTCGTCTGTCCGTCGGTCTATCTGCGCAACTATGTGATATTTGAGGTAAAAATTCTCCCGTTAACGAAATTATATGCAAGAGAATTTGGAATTGACTAAAATTTTTCCAAGGACACGTCTATGGGTTAAAACTTGAAAATCAGCCGTGGCCGTGTCATATTGTGAAGCATGAAAATTTAGTGCTTTCACTTATTTTGCGGTTTTTCGAATAACGTTGATTGGTATAAAAAATTCGGTCACGACAGCATAATTTCTCACTTGTTTTTTTTTTTTAAACATGACCCAATCACTCAGAGAACGTCCCCTATTTGTGCAACATGTTGACTGTCAGAAAGAAGAGAGGAAAGAGAAAGACATAGTGCGACAGAGGAGGCAGCCTAGTGAGTGTTTGCTCAATTGTTATGCGTTAGGCCTTTACCGCCTGAGCACACACTATAACTACTGCCAAACAAAAATCTATAGCAATTGAGATTTGCACTGAAGGCAATTTAACACAGTCTTATAGTCCCCTTATTTTAAATGACAAATCACACAGGAGATGTCCCGTGGAGGAGTAAAACGGTGATGGTCAGAAAGAAGTGTGATGAAAGAGATACGCAGAGCAAAGGCAGCAGATTAGGGGTTAGTGGTAAATAAGGTCCCACTGCACTTTCTTTAAATGAGAATTACGCGGGGGATGTCCTCTATATGAGTAAAACGGTGATTATCAGAAAGAAGTGGGGAAAAAGTGATCGAGTAAGAACGTAGCCTGCGATTAGCGGTAGACAAATCACCCTGTTTATCAGAAAGAACAAGAAGTCGCATCCGCACTCCAATCAGCAAGTGTTATGCTTTTATTGAGCAAGCATTCACTATAGTTATGATCAAACCCCAATCGAACATCTCTACCTCAACGATAAAAGTTTCTATAATTGACAAGCTTTTTTTTTCTATGTAAGGTTTAAATTCATAGTCCTCAGTCTCTAATAAGACCATTGCAAGAGTCTGATTTTTTTTTTCTTGATGTAAATATGATCCTTTGCGACTTTTCACTATATGTCTATCAAAACATATAAAGGCTTAGCTTAGTTTTCTATTCAGTCCGTACTTTAATACTCAGTCAAAATCGAGTAAATTAGCAAAGTAAAATATCTTCGTGTTATTCGACAACGTCGGCAGTCGGACTCGAATAAGTGATCGCATGGGTAGCCTCGTCGGACTACGTCCGTTGAAATCTTGGTGGAGTTTACATTGGTCCTAGCTATAGGGAGTGCTTAGTATCGGCAATAACGCTTATCGGTCGGGCAGAGCCAACCATTAGGCTCTGGCCACCCTCTCCCAATCTCCTTCTCTTTCCTTACTTTTTTTTGACGCTCGCGGTGTTAAACGAATAGGAGACATTCCCTTAGTGATTGCGATATACTAAAAAAAAAAAAAAGGATTGAGTTGGTCGATTAGAGTGAACTAATATCTCCGGAATGCAATTTAACAAATCACATCTCTCTTTAGTTTTCTTATCGTAAAAGATGCATAAGTTTCGGTGAACTTTGACATGGCTAAAATAAGACAAGCTAGATATTGAATTAAACTTAATTTGAGTTTTTTAAGAACAACTTGGGCATATTCTTTAAATGATATTTTTTTAATAGCCTACTGGTAATTCTAAAAACCTGGAGCTTAAAATTATGAAAAATTTAAGATTATTTTAAATGTACCTATAAACGATTTAATATTGCGCTCTCATCTAGCTCGATACATAAAGCAATATTAAAGACGTAACATTGTTTCTTCTTTAGGTAAGCTTTTAGGGCCGTCATTCTCGTCAGAGCAGCGTATTTCCAAATCAATCCTCCTTTTGATATTGATCAAAATGGTAATTGCATGGCTCGGAGGCATATTATTTTTTTTTATACCCACCGCTGTAAGATGGGGGTACACTCTTTTTGCTCGTTTTTCAGAAATTATAAAAGTTAGTCGGCTGACATTTCCCGTATCTACTTTAAGAAGTATTCTACTCCTTACACGCAAAAGTGGAAAACATCCGCCATGCCCACACAAAGTTACAAATGATTAAATTCTGCTTTCTTCGCTTTTTTTCTGTCCGTCTGGGTAATGTTTGCTATAAAAACTTTCCCTTTGGCCGCCAAAATGAACCTTTCGACGTCAAACTTGGCAGAAACAAGGAAACTTCTCGCAGGGAGGTTGGGATTTAAAATTGACCAAATGGATCGAAGAATACGCTCACATCACCACGTAAACTGAGAACACCTCTTGCGATAGTGCGTTCAGATAAAAAACAGACGATCGATATTATTCTTTTAAGTAGAAATAGCTATATGTAAACCGTCGGTGGTATTCTAGTGTTAATGAAGCTCTTTAATGAATAATTCTTGGCGTAATAAGTGTTGGGCAAAATTATAACTACGGCCGGGTACGATGAATAGATTTCTTATTAAGAGATTTAAGTTAAACATGAAATATGCAGCAAACTGAAAAATTTTTGCAAAATTGTCTTTAAATAAACTTTGGTATTAGCAAAGAAAATTATTACATTTGCCTAACTATAAGCGAACTTGTGAACAAACTGACATAACATTTGAATTTGAAGTGATTAGTGTCAAGAAATGAAAATATTGGATAATAGCTTTTCTTCGGTTATAAAGTTTTAATTGTGCAGTTTTGGTTTCAAGAGACGGACAGAGAGAGGCACCTTGCTTAACCTATTTCACTGTCAATGGTAATTAAGTATATGCATTTGCGCACACATTATTGTGTCTTCGATTTTCATACTTCGAAAAATTACAATCTTTTGTGAAATCAAACGGACATGTGGCGGATATAGAAACCTTTTTGTTTTGCGTATTAAAAACATAGGGCCAGACAATTCGTGGTCTGGATTTGGTGCTATAAGCCATATAACACATTCTGTTTGGCATTGTTACTCGAGAAATTTTCCGAACGTGCAAGTTCATGTTTTGGTGGTGTGAAGTGGCCACCAAGCTCGTGAGATTTCTCAACGCTTAACTTTTTTTAGCGGGTTACGCAAAGGACAATGCGAACAATCCTCAAAATCTTGGCGTTTTGAAAACAAAAACCCTTCAAATTATGATCGAGCTATTGCTGTATGCAGGCATGTCATTGGAAATGATCTCAAACACATCCGGTCCTGGAAGATGTTTAGTTTAACATATTTAAAGGATGTCGTATTTCACAAATAATGTCAAGGCCTCAAAAGTGGGTTTTTATTTATTTTTACTCTATTCTATCTAAATCGAGTCCCTTTTTTTATATGCTTAACCACAATGATGACTTTCTTAAAAGGCAGATATAAATTTTATCTTTCACTTAATATATGACACTCTGTACATCGGTTTTGGACATCACAAATAGAATAATAATATTAGAATACAGCCAACCGTAGGTAGGTAACAATAGTACAGTACCGTCAAAACATATAAGGATTTCATTATAAAATAAAACATTTAAGATAATATTATTATTAATAATTTAGCAAGAGAAATAAATTCTACCAGTAAAGTCTTAAAGCACTATCATCTAAGGTTATCGGCTTTATTACGAACTCTATCACACTTTAGACTCGAACCCGCGACGATTGAGTTTCTAGTCCAGATTTTTTGGCATCGGCCACCCAGGCGGATAGCTTAAGACAATAATTTTTCGAAAAGCAAAACAATTGAAAAAACGAACCGATATCAATGGCGGTTCGCCACCTTTTTGCTTTTCTGTAATATCTATATCCAATTGGAGAGTTCTTCTGCAAAATGCGATGCTTTGAGGCGCTCAACCACATGAAGGCAGCGCTAGGTCTTGCGAGAATATAAGAACAATAAAGGATACGAGCCGTTGTATAGTTCGCGCATCTAGGAGTGACTTCTGTAAGCAGGAAGCCTACAAATAGTAAGCCAT